TGGCTTATATAAATTTCACATAGAAAGAAAACTGCTCTTGGGTACACATCTTGGTAGTGAAGTTGTTAGCCTGGTACAAAATAGCATTTATAAATTAACAGGAGGATAAGTAAAAAGCAATGGTGAGCAATTTCAGTGGCAACCTTTTAAAGCTCTGCTTACATGTGGGTAAATCATGAGCTTAACTTTCAGATATGTAGGCTCTTTCATTTTAAGAACTGTCCATGTGATGCAGAGTATTACAAGTGTGAGATAGTAAGACAGAGCAATAGCCTTGCTCAAGTCTCTCAGTTAAACAACTACAACCCTTAATCATTGCTCAGATATTTAATCAATGTGTGGATTGAATATGAGAAGCAGAAAAGCCTTATTCCCATGTTGCCAACAAAATGGTCAACTATTCCTGTATATACTGAATATGAACTGTGTTTCCCCGAAACTAAAACCTCTCCGGATAATAAGCCCAATTGGGCTTTTCAGCACATGCGATAAAATAACTCCCCCTGGAAATAAGCCCCCCACCAACACATGTACAGCTGGTCCTGCCATCTTCTGGTTGCTTGCTGTGCAAACAACATGATGTGAGGAGGCAAGGGCAGAGGGCGGGGAAAGGGGGGAACATGCCCCACGCACCCCACATGCCCTTACCGTATCTACCAGTAACACTGATGGCCACTGTAAAAAGAGTGGCAGGCCAGCGACGCGTCTTGCACCCCACTCCTACCCCTTGCTTAGCCACCTGCCCTCTTTAGGGATGCAATTTGGGGGTGGCAGGTGGGGAGGGAGAAGTGAGACACACATCTTACCTTTCTAGCTCCGTCGCGTTCCTTGCTGTTGTGTCCAGGGAAACACGTTGTAAAAAAAACCTTCTGGTGAGTTCAATCAAACTTCTCGAACTACCAACGCAGAGTCTTTTGGCAGCAGCCGCTCTGGGAATGCGCTTCCTGCTCTATGATGCCAACTCCATGCGGCTGCCCTGGCTCCTGGAAGACTCAACAGCAGGCGGCTGGCCCGACCAGCTTCTTCTCCGCTTCCAGCGGCATCCAGCCGGGGTTTGGAAGCCGCAGAGGAAACCATTCTCAGTGCTTGGATGGTGGTAGCACGGCGCGGTCTCTCCATGCGGGGCTGCAGCTCACTTTGCCCTTCGCCGCTTCTCTGCCCCGGCTGCTGGAAGACTTGGCAGCAGGTAGCTGGCCCAACTGGCATCTTTTCTGTTTCCAGCAGCTTCCAACTGGGTGCTCACCGGCTTCACCCACATTGACATGGTGAGGCCTGCGAGGCGTGCAAGCGAGAGAGGGAACAGGCACTTGCGTGGCTTTGTGCCTTCGGGCCTCTCGCGTTCTCCCCTGCAGGAGGGGCGGGGTTTCATGGCGCATGAAAGGAGCCTCTCTCTGCCGGACCCTCCCAATAATAAGGTCAAGCCCTTATTTCAGGGTTCAAAAGAAAATAAGACCTTGTCTTATTTTCAGGGAAACACGGTAATAACAGTTTGTAATAGCTTGTGTGTTTTTGTGTGTATGAGTTATATACCTATATAAAATGAATGCATATATGCTACTTCAGTCATTAAGACTTTTAAGAGGCATAAAAACCATCTACACAGATAAACACATGCACACACACACACACACACACACACACACACACACACGAAAAATAGGTGGTTGCTAGCTATAATATATGTTTATAAATATATTTTCTCAGAATTTGAAATGCTTATTAAATTGGATTACAGTAGCTATATTTTTTGCATTCCTTCTTTTTTAGTTATTTTAAAAATGTATATGGAGGTCAGTTTGAAAAATGCACCAACTAATCTTTCAATCCTGAATGCTAACAACATCTGCAAAGGAAGGCAAGTGATGGTGGTACAGGGGGAAATGTGATATTTTCATGCAAATGTTACCATATATTGTATATATTTTAAGTACATGCAGTAATAGCATTCGTGTTTTGATGTCATTATATCATAACATCATTGCACATATGTTCTCATTTGATAAATGCTGATTTGTACGGATGTATGGAGAATATGTATTAGTGAATGAATATTTATTTATTCTGTCTATCATCTATCTATCATCAGGCCATATACCAAAAAGGCATATCGTACCAACATAATAATGTATTTATTTATTAAATTTATATACCATCCATCTCCTCAATAAAACAACTCTAATAATACTATTGAAAATCAGTCATCAAAAGCCCTCCAAATCAAACTAGTTAATGACATTTCAGAATCTTTCTGGTGGGAACTATAATCTTGTGTAAAAATGTCTTATTTTCTCTTGGCAAAGAATTGTCTGTATAAAAAGCATTCATTAATGAAAACTTCCTTTGAATAAAGGACTAAGAATTGATATATAAGTGATATGGTTTTGGATCATATAGTTTTAATTAAATCTATTTATTTCTACTTTTTGGCAAATATATCTTGATGAATAAAAGTGGATACCTTTGAATTTTAGCCTATTGTAACAACCAGTTCTTACCATACAGGAATAATATAACTACTACTGTCCACTTATCACTTTATCTACAACTGGATCCAAAAATACTTGTGGAAAACACCACTGCTACAGACATAAATAAGGAGAGGCGGCTGCAACATTCCCATTGCACTGCTAAGTTGCATGCAAACAGAGCCTGATGAAAACAGAGAGCAACGAAAATATATTCCAGTATTCTAGTAAGTACCATTTTCAATACTCACAAAGACATTTATTTAGGAGTTTGCTACGGACATCTTGTTTAATGTAGTTTGCTAAGGATGAACAGTAAATTGTCAGACATCGATGCTATCTCAAAATAAATGAATTTCCAAACTGCCAATCTTTAAGGAAATTTTTCTTTAATTGAGCACAGCCACCGGATCATGACTCGATGCGGACAAGACTGACCTTTTGCCCCCCAATCCCTCCCTTTCCAATCCCCAAATCTCTGCTTCTCATTGGCTATCTTCCAAGTCATTCTTCAGACTTCTTGTCTCGTCATTTCCCAGGAATGTCCCCCCCTCCTCATTTCCACGACAACCCGACTTCAAAGGGATTTAGCAGACAAAAGTTCAGAGCTTATCTCTCTCTCCTCTGCTCTCTATGCCAGCATTGAAGCGCTGACATAAATATCATGATGGCTAATAACCACTGTAGAAATGGGGTGCAGGCAATAGAGAAAAATGGCATCCCTCTTGGGAAATTTAATGTGTTACTATTTTATCTCCATTTCAAAGTCTGGCTGCCTGCTGGAGTTAGAAGGATTGAAAATCATGAAAGGGAATGGAGGGAGTTTTATTGGAATATGGTACATGTGGCTTGCTGAGATATGAACCACAAGCAATCTCTACTTCAAGATATCACACACCACACTAATCCAGATTTGTTTTACAACTGTTTTTTGAACAAGCCAATACTGTCTTGGTTTATGCATTACACTAAGTCATAAACCATGCTTGACAAACTACAATGGCTGGGATGACAACACTTTAGTCAAATGACTATAGAGGTACAGAAGAAACTGCTAGGCCTACCTGTTCAGCTCAGTTGCTGCACCTTTCCTAAGGAAAGGACAACACACTCTGCAGCTTTTTTTAATTACTAGAGGGAGCTATGGCACTTAGAAAGTGCTTTCTACCAGCGAAGAATAAGTGGTAGGTTTTGGTTTTATTTATTTGAGTTTTTTAAAATTACTTTTAAATTTTACTCCTCCTATTTTAAAAAAATTCCCATGATTATATATTTAAAATAAAAGTATAGATTAAAATTAAAAAAACAAAACAAATTACAATAATACATCTGAGAAGTTTAAAAATGCCCCCTAATGTAATGATCCAACTTAGAATAATTTTGAAGAAATTATATCCGTTTTTAAGGTATCTACTATATCCTTGTACACTAAAAAAGTTTCAAGATTTAGCAACCAAATATAAACAGAGCATTTCTTTTTTACTTAGGAAGAACTGGGCATATTTGTTGACTGTATCAGGCATAACAATTGGAAATAAAAGGACTGATGACAGATCATATAGACTTGTATTATAGGTCTCCAGTATGAATTTACTAGTGCTAGAGCAAAATTTAGAGAATTTTGATGTTTATATTTCAGGGTTGGGCTTCAGCTAATAATAACCTGAAAGTAACTTTTATCCTCAGCAATTTCCATAATATGTACCTTATCATTTTATTATTATATTTTTCCATTGCTGAGGTTGGCTGCGAAAAGAACATAAGGAAGATGATCGTACTGTAGAAAACTTTTTTGCTAGAAAGATGATAAAAATTTTCAGATGTTCATCTAAAACAAGTGGCTGTAAGAAATCTGTTTTAATAGGGTTTAAATGCACAATCCCACAATGCTTGGAAAGCTCTAAGGGATAACTTATTGTTAGCTAATGATGAAACTCAATTTTTTGGCGTGCCAATTGTTTATATCTCATAAAAAGCATCCCAAATGGTTTGAAAACATACATTAGTTTTCTCTGGAGAAATCTGAAGGTAATTCTTTTTATACAATTGCATCTTTATTATGCAAACTAGTAGAGTTTTAGCATTTGTAATCAGTTTTTTTAAAAATGTTTTTGTCTGGGCAAATTAAGCTCATCATTGTGTAAAATTGTCTCACAAAGTTGTTATTCTCCTTATTATTACCATTTATCCTCACTTGTTATGGACAACCAATACCTTTTTTGCATAATATACTAAGCAGGATTGGGAGTAACACAAATGGCCATTGTGGTGCCAACCCAATATGGCCATCATAGATTTTTCAGTAATTTGAAAATGCCATAAACTGTAACTGAAATGATATGTTCAGAGCCTAAGAAACATCCCCATTTTATATACCTGAGCATTTCTCTCACATCAGTTAAAAGGACAGCTTCCCCAAGATTGAGAAAATTCCTGCCTTAAGAGGCTGGGAAGTAAAATGGCTTCTGAGCATGAAAATAATACAGTTGTTGGATTTCTGATGGAAGCATTGTGAGCTAAACACGTCTCCAAGGGAACAGAAAACAATGACTGTGGCAGTTAGCAGCCTGCTTCATCAGGACCTTTCTGGACAAGGAGAAAATGGGAGCTTCCTTACATGTGCTCTGGATGGCTGCTCCTCACAAGGAGACTGCGGACCCTGGTCTCCCATGGGTTGGAGCACAAAGGGATCAATCATCAAGCTCAAAACCACAGCACAGCCTTTTAAAGGATACTAACTTCGCTCCTAATGATTTTTGGAAATTGCTAATCTAAACCTCTAAAAGCTATTAGGAATCTTCTGAATGACAAGTTTGAAAAGTCACCTGGTGAGTCTATCTTCATTTCTGATCAAAAGAAATATTAACTGTAAGTTTAAAACCCTATAGGGCCTGGATAATTACAGGACCACCTGCTGCCACTGACTGTCTCCCACCGACCGATACGCTCCCACAGAGAGGGCTTCCTCAGGGTGCCGTCGGCCAAACAATGTCGACTGGCAACTCCCAGGGGGACAGCCTTCTCTGTGGGAGCTCCCACCCTATGGAACGAATTGCCCCCGGATATACGAAGGATCCCCGACCTCCGTGCCTTCCGTCGTGCGCTGAAGACCCTGTTATTCCAACAAGACGGTCTGATGGGACAATCATTTTAATTGGGTTTTAAATATGGGTTTTAATATGGTTTTATAAGGGTTTTAGAATGGGAATTTTAAATTTGGCCAAAATTGAATTATTTTAATATGGTTTTTAAATTTGTCTTGTATATTGTTTTATTATGGCTGTTCACCGCCCTGAGTCCTTCAGGAGAAGGGCGGTATAAAAAATATAATAAAAATAATATAGGTTTTAAAATAGATTTTGAATAAGAAAATATTAAATGATTTAAGGGTTCAGACCAGAAGTGGGATTCACTTACCTTCCCTACCGGTTCACAAATGTGAGCACGCGCCTTTTGCGCATGCACAGTGCTCATGCATCATATCCGCGTGCGTGGGCGGAGCCTCCCGCATTCGCCACTACCTGTTCACCCAAACCGTACAGAACTGGCTGAATCCCACCACTGGTTCAGACAAATTTGGAACATTGTAAGTTTTATTATAGAATTTCGGAATGAACTATAAAAATTTTGTGGGAACTGAAATAATTTTGTAAGTCATTTTTAATATATAATTTTTATTAGTAATTTTTAATTACAATAATAAAAACATACAAAGTAAACTCAGAGAATTTTTTTTAAAGTATTAAAAAGTGCAAAGAAAGAAAAAGGAAAAAAATAAGAAAGAAAAGGAAAAAGGAAAGAAGAAATAAAGAAAAAGAAAATGTCTTATCTCTAATTAAAGCTGTGAATTTGGCATCTCAGCAAGTTCCATCATCTTCACTATCCATTCCTTCATTGTCGGTAAAGTCGAATCTTTCCACCTTTGAACAAATCTTGCTGTAGTTGTCATATACAAAAACAAAATTCCATGTTTTTTTCCCAGCTGTTTATCCATCAGTCCCAAAAGAACCTTTTGGTTTTAATTGTATATTAATCTTTAAAATCTTCTGTATTCTTATATTTGAGTCCAACATTTTCTAGCTTTTTTACACATCCACTAAGCATGACAAAATGTCTTGTTAATTTACATTTCCAGCATATAACTGAAGCTGGACAATTCTAGACAATTTTTCCAGTGACATGCAATGATGAGATACCATTTCCAGTGACATGCAATGACGAGAAATTCTCTTTAAGATTATAACATAATGTAAATTTCAATTCTTTCAACCATATATTCTTTTTTAATCCAATATTTCTGATTCTACTATTTCTGCATCAAGCAAGAATTGTTTTGTATCCGTCATTTCTTCATTAATATCCTTTAAACATAGTTTCTTCATAGAAGCAGTCATTGTTACTGAAATTTTTAGTATTGTGGCTACTAATTTATGGCCCCATACTTCAAAGATCTCCTTTAATATTTACAATATTTTAGTGTCTTACATCATTGTGTAAATATCAATCCAAGACAAAACCAAAAGCAGGGGTTTTTTTCCTTTTTGCTTGGAACCTATAGTCTCCATCAATGTCAATAAACTAGATCTGAACATGGATTAATTTTGAATCAGATCAAGCCTGAAGCATGTGCTGTAGTACTTCTCTCTATCCTGCTTCTGACTATTTTTGGAGCAATCTTTGAAGTTGATGATGCATTTGGCAGCTTCTCTTTAACTTCAGTTGCCATGCTAATACATTGTCATGTTTTTGTTTATTATCTTTTCTACTTGGTAACAAAATCACAATAGGTTTCTGAGCTTTTCTTAAATCTCCTTGTTTAAACTTTTGGATTTTTTGCTAACTGCTTCATGTTTATCACCAGACATGGCCATAGCAGATAGTTTGAGATATTTAGCCATATAGGATTCAGCTTAGAAATTCTATCATTAGCATTATCTCTTGGCTCTCAGTGGCTATGGGATAACCACAGTGATTATTGTTGTATCTAATTTTTCTCTGTCTGTCCAGAATAAATCTGTCTTACAGAAAGCAAAAATATGAACACCGCTAAAAACTACGAAACCCAGCTCAACTCTGCAAGCACTCCTTGTATATAATTCTGGAGAACTAGAATCCATTGCTCTTTCTCTGAAAGTAATTTTCAAAAAATATTTCTTCTGAGTGGCTCCAGTAAATCTGAGAAAATTCAGACAAAAGGTTAAAATAATGATATACAAAAAAATAAATAAATATTGCTGAATTGTAAACCCCAGAAGCATTGGCCAGGCTGTTGAATGCTGAGAAATGCTGGTATCTGGAACAGTATGTGGAAGTCCAGCTCTCAGATACTTCATCCAGAGTTACATACACTAGAAAATTTCAGTACATTCAGTCTCTATTGGTAGGTATATATAGGGAACCTTGCCCCCCTCTTTATTCTTAGCAACTGGTAATCTGGTGGCCATCTTTTATCTTTTGTGTTTGCTTTGATGGCTAACAGCCACTGATATGTCTATTCTCCACAAACTTCTCATGCCTTTTTTAAAGCCATTACATTATGATTAATAATAAATAATTTTGATGAATAATTTATAGAGGCATTCAACTTAGGGCCGATTGCCACATTTCGTGGCCATGAATTCCATAAGTTAATTATGCAGTGTGTTGATGGAAGATGAAGCTTTAATGCTAAGGCTTATGGCAACAGCATTAGTAGTAGGTTTTCCCCCTTTGAATACAAAACAAACACAAAAGCTCTTCCATTAAGTTTTCTTTGAAATTCCCACATTATTTGAATAAATCAATGAATTATTTTCTCTGTCTGTACTTGGCTTTTTATACATCTGGGTTTAATATTAATCAAGCTAAACACTGCATTATATTAAGTGTAATTTATTTTTAGAATAGAATAGAATAGAATTCTTTATTGGCCAAGTGTGATTGGACACACAAGGAATTTGTCTTTGGTGCATATGCTCTCAGTGTACATAAAGAAAAATAAAATACATTCATCAAGAATCAAAAGATACAACACTTAGTGATAGTCATAGGTTACTAATAAGCAATCAAGTCGTACTAGGAAACAAATAAAACAATATAAATTGTAAAGATACAAGCAACATGGTTATAGTTATAAGTGGGAAGAGATAGGTACTAGGAAGGATGAGAAGAATAATAGTAATATAGTCTTAGTAAATAATTCAACAGTATTGTGGGAATTAGTTGTTTAGCAGAGTGATGGCATTCTGGAAAAAAATATCCTTGTGTGTAGTTGTTCTGGTGTGCAGTGCCCTATAGCGTTGTTTTGAGGGTAGAAGTTGAAACAATTTATGTCCAGGATGTGTGGGGTCTGTAGATATTTTCACAGCCCTCTTTTTGACTCGTGCAGTATACAGGTCCTCCATGGAAGGCAGGTTGGTAGCAATTATTTTTTCTGCTGTTCTAATTATCTGCTGAAGTCTGTGTCTGTCTTGTTTGGTTGCAGAGCCAAACCAGACACTTATGGAGGTGCAGATGACAGACTCAATAATTCCTCTGTAGAACTGAATCAGCAGCTCCTTGAACAGTTTGAGCTTTCTGAGTTGGCATAGAAAGAACATTCTTTGTTGTGCTTTTTTGTCGATGTTTTTGATGTTAGGTGTCCATTTTAAGTCTTGAGATATGATAGAACCTAGAAACTTGAAGGTCTCTACTGTTGATATTGTGTTGTCTATTATTGTAAGAGGTGGTTTCTCCTAAAATCTACCACCATTTCTTTTACCAGCACATTCAAAGCATATTCATAGTAAAATCTTAGCTTTTTAAACTTCCTGCTTTTAATTTAAGATAGAAAATATGCAGATTAAATGCAGAAATAAAGTTTTCTATTTTCTGTTTGCATATGTAAGTTTTCATACCCTATATATATATCCTGATAGGGATGATTTAATATTCTATTGAAACTAAGTTTACTAATAATTAAATTTAATATATGTACATATCACCTTTCCTTATACAAACTTATATTTGAATAGTCAGTGCAACTGAACATTAAAAATTTTAAAATCAATGCACGTTTCGTTAATGTCAGTAGGACTGACAAGATAATTGTAGCTAAGATCCTTAGCCATTGCATTATTATCATATTCATTTAAGTCCTATTGAGTTCAATGAATGTAAGGAGATTCACAGTGCAATTCATTTAATAGTCAGAAATAAATATTTATTGTGGTTGTTCATTGTTCTTAGGATTTTATCAGTCATGTTTTTGTGGTTTTTGTTTCCATTATATTATCTTCAGGTAATATCTCATTATTGGATGCTTATTATCAGATTTTGAGAAACATGTATGTTTGGCCTGGAATATATTGTTAGGAAGAACCCTTCAGTGTTATCTCAATAGATTATTGTTTAGGTAACAGATAAATATTTCAGATTCAGGTAAGCCTAGCTGTATCTAATTTGCATGTAAGTACAGGCTGAACAATTCAGAGAGGGTAAGACTGCATCTCCAAGTGTCCCTAACTGCAAGAAGCACTTGCCAGGAATTTTACATGGCTGCCCTCTGTTGTAGCAATTGAGACACACAATGGACTTTCCATGTATAATTTTACAGAGTTGATCCATGCCTTTCCAAAAGAATATGAGAAGCAACTTTAAAGGCCATTTGTGTGACAGGATGGGAAAGTTCTGCAGACAGAGAGGGTCAGGTTTTGCTGTTTGTTTTTTTAATGGGGCATGCATAAGTTTACTAGCATGCCTACTGTCCCTATTCTAATATTCCCTTTTATATGTATCCATTTCATGTATTCATAATTATGTTTATACTTATATCTGTTACCTATTACATGCTTGATGAAATAAATAAATA